CTACCGGCTGCAGATGCCCATCGGAGCATGACGCACTTGGTCCATCAACGCTGCCGGCAATGCAACAGGAGGGAGATCGGACCCGAAACGTCGGATTTTGGACACAGAGGGCTGGATCGTCCCGCTGATCATAGAGGTGTGATCAGTGGGACGCTCGAAATGTGTTAAAGTGGAGCGCGGGGTGTGATGTGCGCTCGGGAAGGAAGAGCAGAGAACGCATCCCAAAGGTTTTGTATTATTAGTGATTGGCTTTATTTTGCTGTATTCAAGGACATAACCACGGGCCTTAAATGGCAAAAGAAACAGACTTTTGACAGCATGAACAGTTTCAACCAAACACATTTAGGGACAATCTGACTAGCCGCCAGTGGCACCAGAAGGGCACGTCAGAAGGTCATTACGATCCTCTGGGGACCATGAATGTGTATACAAAACTAGAACTTTGGCAATGCATCCAACAGTCATAGATATTTCCGCCAGGACCAAAGCGGTGTAACTACTTGCAGATTGCCTTTGCCGGCACGAGATGGGATATAATGAAACACGGCCACAGATCTCTAATATGCTCATTCTGTACTAATGGAGCTTTAAAAAAAACTTTCATGAAGCACTGTGGCACTCCATCTGGAGAGCAGTACGCCCGAGTGATAGAGAGAGAAGTCAAACTAGAGAGATTTAATACTTTCCCACCCCCACGACTGCCCGGCCTGGTCGTGACTCGCTCAGAGGCCTCCGATAGAACGATAGCCATCGGCCGACAATAAGGCTTTTCAGCCTGTATTCATTTACATGGGCTGGGGAACTGTGACTCTTTGTAGTTCATCTCGCTACGCGCTAAGCTTGGAAGACTGCATCATGTTCGTTGATGTTAATTTGACACTGAACTGAAGGGGGGAGGGGGGGGGGGGCAGCATTCCACAAAGAAGGACTTGACTTGTGTCTTTTTAGATGAATGATGGAATGCGGGCTTTCTAATGTCACAGTGAGAAGAGCACATCTTGGAGAGGGAGACTTGTCTTGACACCATGACAAGACATCACACGTCCTCCGCATTTTAGCGCAAGGCGTTAGAACAGCGGCCAACCAGAGAGACAGCGTTCCTCAGGCGTCACGCAGGCGGGACAGATCTTTGTATGAAACGTCACATTTCCTTTTTCCAAGATGTCTCTCACTGACGGCAGCGTCACCATTCCTGCGTGCTGTCGGGAGGCAGCCGACGGAGGAAGATGGAGAACGCGTGCGGATGTGAACAGAGAAAGGGTGCATGATCATGCAAAGTGTTTGTGGGTTACTGATGTGTTGAGCCGTGGCTTTGCACGGACTCTCCCTAGACTAACAAACCATGCTTTATTTTTTAGCCTATTTTTCAATCATTACAAATTGATTTCCATGCGGCCAGGCAAATGTGTCCTGACAAGTTACTAAATACAAGGAAAAGATGGACATGATGCAAACTACTAAATGTTATACACGCATAAGAACGGTCTTTACATACATGAAGTAGAGGAAGGAGTTTCATTTTGTGTTACACATTATTCCATAACAAGTATAATATATAATAAAATGACAAATTCTAATACAGTATATAATATTGGTGTTCCTTATTCTACCTTTTCAAAGATCCCATTGGTTGATGAGGCTTGGTGACCTCCAATGAACGACACCTCCACCTGCTACCAACCTGAGTGAACACACCTGTGTGAGCGACACTTCAGGCCCAGAAGAATGTGCATGAAGAAAGCTTGAAAGATTTGAGAATGAATGGATGTACAAAAAGCCGAATTATAATAAGTCCTAGATGAGACTGTTCCTTTTGCAACAAACTCACATAGAGGAAAGGGAATATAATCATTTTTAGAACAGTAAAGGGTTTAAATTAGGGTTTAAGCGGTACACTGTAAACAAGCTTTTTCAACGTCGTTAAAGGATAATGTCAAAATAAAAAACTATTTTCTTAAGAGGAACTGAAATTAAAACAGAGATCCAAACTAAATAATGATGAGTCATAACCTACAGTGACGTCTACTTAAATGGAACGTGTTCTGTATGAAAATGTCAGTATGCAAAATAATTTCTTTCAGGGAAGAAAAGTAGTTCCCTTTTCCGATTGTAACTTCCCTTGTGCTTTGAGCCAGACTGTTTTCCGAATGTATTTATTTTTTGCTTTAATTTGACTGAACTGAATTCAACATATGCTTCGACTGCCGAGAATGATCCAAATGATGATGCAAATGCATCTCGACGTCGCATCTTAAGCTGAAAGAGCCTCGAGGCCGAGTACAGCATGTTCGAACAAGACCAGCAAACACATTCGTCAACACAGAAACGCTGCTCGACGAGAAAATATTACAAGATGACTGTATATGAAGATACTAAAAACCTAGAATACTCGAAAAGTGAAAAGGGGAAAAATCACTCAAGGAAAAAGAAAGATGTAGTAAACAAATATGTTTTGGTCTGTTTTACTAGAAACAGACAAGATAATATCCTTATGGGCTGATTTCAAGTGTGTAGAAGATAAATGGGAGATAATTGGGCCTCTAATCTCTGATTTAATCTAAAAACAGGATAAGAACAGCAGGTTTTGTTCCTAAATGAAAGGTCTAATCTATCTATCTATCTTTTTTTAATTTGTGCTATGCAGTGCTGTCGTTTCCTTTCTGTATTGCAATGTCTGAAGTAAATGTGAATCTCGTCCAGTCGCTTGCAATCCCTCTTGCAACTTAAAATTTATAATAATTGTCATCAAAACTTTAGCCATAGTTTACATCAGAACAGAACCTCCAAAGTACACTGTTATACTGACGACATGACTGAGCAATTTCACTGTACATATACAATGACGCAAGGACATGTTCAGTGTCACAGACATTCACTTTTGAGAGATGATTTGCGGATTTTGAGCAGGAGAGCTATTTGTACGAATTGTTTTGGGAAATGCACGTGCTGTTTTGCAAATGTCGAGGATGATTTGAGAAATGTACCAAAGCAACTGAGAAAAACTGTAACGTTATCTCAAAACAACACAGTATTGTTTAACCCTGCCTCACTCTTGACATTATTAAAACCAGCAGAGGTGGCGGCAGGTCACATTTGCATGTGAATCGTGTGACTTGTGTTCATCACTGCTCCCCACATTGTTAACGATGATTACGTCAATGGCAGAAGCAAACTTACTTCCTCATTCCTCATTCATCACGCCAGGCGAGTGTTTCACGATAGGGGAAAAGATATTCGATTTAAGATTGCATTTGAAAAGAAAATCCAGACATAGGGGTTCTTAAGAGCTTTTTCTAGAGCTTCCAACTGCCCCGTCATGTTGAATAGATAAATATGCGTATTGAGTATTTTGTAGTTTAATTCCCACCTAAACAGAACAAACCAATATAGGCTCACATCATTTATAAAATATATGTCAGGCACGTAGGCACGCCTTACAGTGAAACTAAATCTACAGTAAAACTGGCAAAGAAATTCATTTAGAAAACTCAACAGCAGTACATCCTTCCAGAAATCATGACCCGGTTTCTCAAGATAACATAAAAAGGTCTTTGAATGAACTAACTTGATGAACAGCACTACAGTTAGCAGGAAAAAGATGCATTTTCAGTTTAAGGGTGAATTGTAATTTTAAGGAAATATAGCAAAGATTGTGCTAGTACAGTAAACCAAGTTGACCTTTGCAAAATGTATCTTTTTTACACATAAATTTCTACCCATAGCTTCTCATCCAGAGGTCTTTTAACATTGTCCACGTTGTTAATGCCGATATCAAAAATGTCCAAAACTGCATCGTTTGCAATGCTCTTATTATTTAGGAAATGAGGTGATCGCTGTGATGTGACACGTGCATATGAAAAGCAGCTTCTTTGGCAATATCCAAATCTGTCCCGCGTCCACTGAGTGATGCCTATATGTTTTATGAAACAGAATAAGGATCTGAGCATCACTAAAAAATACTACTCCAAATGCACTACGGCTACAAAAGAACAGTGCTTCATTATTTGATGTTTGAAATAGTCTAATCAGCAATTTGGCAGCACCAGGGTTCAACTGTGTTTTTAAAAGAATCTTCTTCTTATTAGAGCTTATCAATGTTTTTCATGAAGCTGGATCCCGTCACACTTGTGAGTCGTACCTCACAGAGCGGAATGTCGGTGTGAGTCGCAGCCGCAGGGGCGAGCGACAAGGACACGCAACGCACTGCACCTCATTCCTGTCGTGACCCCTCCGTGTGCCCCGAGTATCCTCACATGCTTCACATTCCCCACCTCGCTCACCATCTATCTCCCTCTACCTCTCCAGAAAGACCTGTGGGACCAGAACAGGTGGCTGCTGGAGGCCTCGGTACTAAGAACTGTCAATTCGGCGTACTTTACGCTGCACGGGTCAGACCATGTGTTTGACCCGACTGTGTATATGACCAAACAAAAGTGCATTGTATTAAAAAAAAAAGCTTCTTTATATTCATCTCTATGTGCAATCCTGAATAAATTAGTCGGCCAACGAAGAGATTCCAAATATAAAGAAACTTTTGGTGCTTAATCATTACAAACGAGTTTTTCTTTTGACAAATGGATAAAACATGATTAGACTTTCGCTCTCTGCTCTTCCAACACATCCCACCATTGTTAAACCTCCACATTCTAGTATTAATTACTTGATGACGCACAAATTGAATGCAATTAAAACCCTCAAAGGACCCTTATTCTTCCTATGGTGAGCCAGGGCATTGTCGTTTGCTTAGACATTCTCATGTTTATGCATCTGTGGGGATATTTCTTTTTTTTTACTTCAACTTCAGCTCAAGTTTGAGCTGCGCTGCACGAGCTCCCGACTAAGCAAAGCGCCGCAGCGAAATGCGCAACAGGTGCAGTCACACCTGCGTGAAAGCACTGATCTCCATCACCCAAAAGCAGCTCCCCCCATCCTCAAGAAATACAGAACTACCTGCTGCAGTTTTGATTCAAATTGCACTTTTTCTGAAAAAGCTTTCTTACCCCGAGGACGGCGCTGAAGACCAGCAGCAGAGTCCGCAGCGGGACGCTGGAGAGCAGCGCCAACTTCATGCTTCCCGCGCGCTTTGAGGGCAAAACAAAAAAGTTTTCTTTTTACAAAGTTCTTGGGGCTACGGGGAAATTTTTTTTCAAAAGCCTGGCGGGGGACCCTCCCCCACTCTTGGTTTTGGGAAGAAAAAAAACTCACACGAGAGAGGGGGGGAGGGGGGGGGGGGGGGGGGGGGGACTTTTTCTCTTCTCGCCGTTAACGGGGGAGGAGCGCGCGTCCAGGCGTGTCACTCCGGGAGGTTTTACTTCATCATCGGGCCGCTCCGATGCGTCGCAGCCTCCAACAGCCTGAGAGAGAGAGAGAGAGAGAGAGAGGGCTGTCCGGTCACGCAGAAACGAGCCGGAGTCACCCCACATTCTTGTCATAGCTGGGCCACTCTCAGGGCGCAGGAATGCGTCCGAGGGGTCCCTTTTTTGTGGAAACATCCCTAAAGTAGCTGTTGTAGTTTAACGACCAAACGATGCCACTGACATAACACGAGCAGGGACCTAAAGGAAGGAATGTGGGCATGCCACACAATCATCAATAAAAGACCTTCTTTAAATCTAGCACAAAACATTTCGTCGCCACAAACACTGTTATTTGAAAGAATGCATTTAAAAAAATATATTAACAAAAAAAATGACAGCTGCAACAAATAATTATTTTCATTGCAAATGGACTTATGGATCAACTCATATTTTGATTAATATGTTAATAGAAAGTTTTTTTCGGACCTTCCTGTAGTGCAATTTATCAGTCTAAACAGTTTTGGTTCGCGTTGTTATGGAGATATCGGCAGAAGAGACGTCTGCCTTCTCTCATGGAACAATAAGGCGCTTAACTTGTGGCGTGAATAAAAACATACATGTAAACTCAACGATATTGTTTGTAGAAACCGTGACCACAGATAATCCTCAGACCTTGTTAGGGAGTTTCATGTATAAAATATAGTTTAATAGTTTGACAAACTGACCGTCACGTTTGCGTGTCTTGAGATTGCTTGTTTGTAAATCTGAACAAGACCCTTGCCAGCTAATCAGAGGCAACGTAGGTTGGGTTATTGTGGGGAAAATTAACAGGTTAAGCAACTGCACGGCTTGCAAACTAATAACAATGTGCCATAGGTTAAGCTGTTAACCTTAGATCATGCATTGCAGCCGAAATGCCCAAAACTGGCCTTTACACGTCTCACATCTTAGCTCCTTTGAAAACATCGTGGGTTCAAGGAAAGTTGTGAGCGAGAATTCATGAGGAGAAGACGACCACCGTGCAGGAGATTCCGGCGACCCTTTCACTCCATAAATAGGATGCAACGGTGGATGTCGCTGGTGCAGGTCTGCCGTGGAGAAACTACAACGGAGGAGAACTACAAAACCTACAACCGAAAAGACCATGTGAAATCCATCCTGTAGCTGCATGGACATGAGATATGTATATGAGGAACTCCTTTGTGGCAGGTCACTTCCTTCGTGCTGAATGAGAGTCGCGAATGAGAGGTTTTTCCTTCCATCAGCTCTCACACTTTAACAATCAACTCTGCTTCAACAGAAACTGAAACTTTCAATACCAATACTTCTTTTCCACAATGCTGTAGATTTGGCTTTGTTTTGCTTTTTAACATTGAAATAATTCATTTCCATAATTTTTTTTTTTTGACATAATTTTTTTTTTTTACTGAATTTCTTAATGAATGAGCATGGATTCCACAAGTTTATGACAGTGTGAAAACACATGTTAAGGTGCAAACGGTGCGTTTGTCCTCATGGACGCTCAAAGAGTTTTTGACTGCAACCTGCGCGCAGTCGCCTGGACCAACATTGAGCTCTGTAGAAAATCAGTAGAAAACAAGAGACAAGCTGATTGCTATTTAAAGCAATCAGCCTGTCTCTTGTTTTATTTAATTTGAATGCTGCTGTAAATAATTAGCAAAGTATGCTAATGTCATTACTTTTCCAAAGAGTAATATTGGTCTTTTCAAGTAACTTGCCCAACACAGTTCACCTTTATGATGGAGTTTGGTGAGTGAATTCTCAACTCACGTTAGCAGCATTCACAACACAAAAACTGGTCTAACCAGCTGTGATATCTGCAAACTACCTTCCCATTTGGAGCTGATCCTCCCTAAATTATATCACCGGCCTGAGGCTTCAAGCGTTTGATCACCATACCTTCTCGGCCCATCGATTCCATCAGTATATAACAACCAATATCTACAAAACCTCCAATCCTTTTCAAGATTTCATTGTAAAATGCTGTCAAAATACTGTCAAAATGCTGTCAAAGCACCGCTTCGACGACAACAACACCGCTGTTCTAGCATTCAGCCACTTTTAAAATATTTGAGATCTTGTTTTACCCTCCATTAAATCCGTCCCCTCTCCCAGTTTTTCCCTTTATCTTGTAAGCTGTTGGGTCATTGTTGTTACATTAACTAATGAATATATGATGATATTTTGTACTTTCATGAACTTCCTCAATTATCAATGCAGCATCAAAGTCAGTTACTGAGTCTTTGTAAAATCACTGAAATACATTTTCCTTCCCCTCTGACATGTTAAATACATGTTTAGGGTGTCCTCCTGTTCGGAACAGGCAGATGCCCGGCTCCGTGCAGTGTTGATGGATGGGGCGACTGTTCAAGTGCGTGGTCGTTCAGAAGGCCGCTCGTCGCTTGTTGACTGCAGTTGACTCCAAATGAAGTAAAGGCCCACTGGCGACGACATGCTCAATTCTGTGCGTGGGGCCCTCAAGCCCCGCAGCCTAGTCCTGCACAGGGATTGAGGCAGAGAAGCTGCTCTGGTTTCTGGTTTTGCCGAAGCTTCTGCACCTTTGACCTCTTTTTCAGGCACCCATCAACACCAATTATCTCTGAATGCATGAGTACCAATCCTTTTTTGGGAGGTTTTATTCAGCTAACATAGATTCCTCCTCTCCTCTGCATCTTATTTTAGTTACCTTCCATATCAGTAAAAAGGCTTGACCTGATGGCGTTTGACATAAAGTCAGAAAATCACCAAATTCTGTCGGATTCAACTGTTTCCGGTGAGTGTGTTTCGTGACGTTCCATTGTTTAGGTTGTTGAGATTCTTCATAATGGATCAAATGGTGGATATTGATATACCTAGATAATATAGAATAGAATCATATCTTATTCTTCCAGAACACTTGTATGAAAGAAAGCCAGCTTAGCACAAAGACTGGAAACAGTGGCATGCGAATGGCCTTGCTCCCCCCTCCTCTAAGGAATGTGACAATGAGTGTACTATGTTGCTTACAATGTCGAACTACCTCTTTCGGTAGAATTAAACAGCTACCAAGATGTAAAGTTTGCATGGCTGCTATATTTGCGATAAGTGCACACGTACGTCTTGTTTGTCCTTACATCACCCCCATTGTGAGGAGCATACAAAGTCAGAGAAACTATGCTATTTAGTTACATAATGCAAATAAATATTCAAATGAACCTTTGTTATTGGTTATTTTCCTGTATTAGACATCTCTTTGTTCTTTATTCTCTTAATACGAGATAATGCAAATCAGACGTATTTTCATGCACAGGCCTCGTTCCCGTTTCCATGTAAATTACGTTTGCAGGTGATTTGTAAACATCACAGGTATCGGTTCCTTTTTAGGACTGCAGCGTCAACAAGTGCAGGTAACAAAGGCGCTTCAATGAAAACACTTCCACGTCAGACCATGTGGTAAAGACATCACGTAACAAACGGAAAAGAATAAAAGTGACTACATGATGATCGACTGTGTGTTTGGATTGCACATTATATCAGAATAAGCCGTACAGAGCAACGGTAGCAGGAACAAAGTGATCAGTCTGAAAACCTTCGAATGTTGAAGTTAAATACAGGAAAGGAACCGAAAGCATTTGTAACCAGATCAAATAATAACTTCCTGATTAATCCAAAATGGTCACATTGGCTGTCAAACTCAAACTCAGAGGTCTTTATCAGAAATTTAAAAAATGTTCCAGTTGAAGAATATGAATGATGAGTTGATGCAATTGCTGGTTATTTTTATTTTCACCCCAGTTTGGGATAACTGGAGGATGTTTTAAATGGTTCTAGTTCATGTTAACTCAACCTTTTGCTCGACTATCCGTGTGAATAATAGATGGACCTCTGATTCATAAAAAGCCAGAGAGCTTGAAATAGAATATTTGTTAATGCACTCTGCTGCAAATACAGATATTTTTTCTTATTGAGCCCCAATGTAAACAAGCAACCCAATACCATTAAGTTATGGTTCTCTATATTTACAAACGGTTGCTAATCAATTACCTCAAACTGTGTAGCTTTGGTACCAGCTTTGAATAAAGACCTGTTGTGTTGAGCAATGTTGCAATATGAGCCAGCTGGGCCAAGCAGCGCTGTTTCACATTCTCCACAGTTAAATACATGTCATGATCCGACTGAGCACATATTTATTTTCATCCACTTGTCCATTACACCGCTCAATGAAGCGCCTGTGTGCCGTGTCAATTTTGGCAGAGACATTTAATCGTCCAAGTGAGCCGAGTTCACAGCATCACCCAGACTTCTCCTGCTATTCTCTCAGAAAGACGACTGTCTTCGAGGAAGAACCCTTTGCACCAAGTGCCTCCTCGTGTATGCTAACCGTAAGCTACTTTTTCTGTGGTTAATTTCTATATTGATAGATGATTTATTATAGAATATTGTAAGCTGTCAAAGTTAATCACATAATTTCAATACACAAATCGCTCACCTGCCCCTACTGACCAGTCGCCACATATGAACACTACTATTTCCCCCTAAAGTAGCCCCCCAGCTTATGATCAAATGAAGCCTTTTTGTAGCACGATTGGATGGACAACGAGCCCGAGTTGGTAGCCCCTCCTGACGCATCTGTACCTCCTGAACTCTCTCTAAGCTTTCCCATTCTGACCGCCGACTGTGACCCTCCTCTCAATCTGTGGATCTGCATAGCTGTCTCTCATTCGCTTGTTTACGCGGAGCAAATGGTCGTAATTGCTGCCGTGAACCGTGACCATGTGTGTTTACATCTTTGCTATTTGAACGCTGCAGTAAACAGCGACTGCT